TCACCACGATACAATAATTACATCAAAATGCTAGATCAAAAGACCTTCCATTGTCGCTTGTAACGAATGAATATGAAATGTTGCATTGCCAACACGTGTTGCCAAGTTAATTCCATTATAATAAATGCGGCAGGAAGCCCTTCGGGGATTTAATAACTAAGAGGCGCTACCCAGTGGGTCAGGAGGCACACAGACACTCCCTTTGTTTTCATAAACCTACTGTTTGCAGAGAAATCAAGATGTTCAGTCCACGTTTCCAGTAAACAATGAAGGAATTAATCCCATTGAAGGAATTACGAGTGAAATTTAATGATAATGGAACACGTATAAAGGGCATTATTAGACTCAGGAGACGCAACAAATATAATGTGTTTGTAGGCAAATTACTGGAAGCAATAATTTCAAACTCTATTCGAAGTCACCTGGAGAAGCACAAGTTGATCAATGATTCCCAACAGGACTTCACAAGCGGGGGTTCATGTCTAACTAATCTATTAACATTCTTTTCATCTGTTTTCGAATCAATGGACGAGGGGCACAATTAAAATGTGGTATATCTCCACTTTAGCAAAGCCTTCGACAGAGTCGTCCACGAAAGACTAATAAGAAAAGTGGAGGCTCATGGCAATAGAGGAGATATTCTAAAATGGATTAGGGCGTGGTTACAGGACAGGAAACAGCGAGTGAGCATTAACGGCACTAAATCCGATTGGAGCAACGTCACTAGTGGAGTACCCCAAGGCTCAGTACTTGGACCATTATTATTTATTATATACATAAATGACATAGATATCGGCCCTAGGCAGCAACTTAAGTAAATTTGCTGATAACGCTAAAATAGGGCGTGTAATTAAATCTGTCGAAGTCTCCGCAAAACTACAGGAAGTTCTTAACAAATTTTTCGAATGGTCTGAAAAATGGCAGATGAAGTTCAACGTGGACAAATGTAATGTACTCAGTATAGGAGATGTAAACAGGGAAACCAGATACCAGATGAACAACAATGCCATAGAGAAATCCGACTGCGAGAGAGATTTAGGAGTAATTATAAGTAGGAACCTTAAGCCAAGTAAACAATGCGTTTTTGCTCGTAACAAGGCTAATGAAGTACTTGGGTTCATACAAAGGAGTGTTAGTTACAAGTGTAGCAAGGTTATACTAAAACTATATCTTGCGCTTGTGAGACCTCACTTGGATTATGCAGTTCAATTCTGGTCACCGTATTACAGAATGGATATAGAATCCTAAGAAAGAATTCAGAAGAGAATGACAAGACTAATCCCGGGCATTAGGAACCTTGAGTACAGAGACAGGTTAAAGCATCTTAATTTGCACTCCTTCGAGAGACGTAGAGTGAGGGGCGATATGATAGAGATGTATAAATGGATGTCAGGGCTAAACAAAGGGGACATTACAAAGGTACTTAAACCATCCAACCTGGAGCGAACTCGTAACAATGGTTTTAAATTAGACAAATTTAGATTTAGGTGCGAAATAGGTAAACACTGGTTTGGAAATATAGTGGACGTGCGGAACAAGTTACCAAACATCATCATCATCATTAACTCGAATACATTGGATAGCTTCAAATATACAGTAGGTTGGCTGGATATATAAACAATTGGGGTTGGGTGTAAATGGTACTGCCCAGTATGGGCCAATAGGCCCGCTGCGGTTTCCTCCATTTTTACGTTCTTATATTCTTAAGTATACACATAAGAAAACGTTTTCCGAGCATTAGAAAAGTTTAAACGGATACAACACGTTTACATGAGCCCGGATGTTTAACCAAATACCAGACAATAGCTAATACGTTTACAATAACCCATACATTTAAAACAGAGTAACATCAATCTTAACATTTAATATCACAACATAAGTCATTTTTTTCATATTATATGTTTGAGTAAACACCAGTGACACTAACCCTGAGGATAAACGTTCGACTCACATTTGTCACAACTTGACATGCAGTACACACCTCATACCGCACGTATTTAGGGGTCACTAGCTGGTTGTGGTTGTTGTCAAAAAGCGGTGGTAGTAATGATCACATGTTGGTTGGGACAGCAACAGGCCGTGAACATCCGGCAGTGTCCACCTCTATCCCAGACACCTTGATAATGACACAGCACGGACACGTCCACACCCTCTCCAACACACACACACTGAAGCCGACAACACCCTTTGATCGTCCAGCTATACAACAACCACTAGTATCAGACCCGAGTTAACCTGTATGCTGCCACATGTGTCCTCCTATATTTGTATTGAAAACTTAGGTTAAATGACTCACTCCCCAATATGGACGAGTTGTTGGTTCTGGGTAAACACAAACACAATAAATCTGCCACGTTCGTAGAGTGATAAGGTATATATAATTTGCAATAAAAGTTTAAAGTCCTGTTATAATAGTCGAGATAATTTTATTTCTGTAGGTACAGGGCCGCCATTTGCAATGACGTCACCACCTTCCCTGCAAACAACGCAGGAATGGAGATACGAGTCAATTTAGAAGTAATGACATTGTCTGGACTTTGTTTTGAGAAAGCCTGATGCTAGGTAAATATGACAGCATTGAGCTGTTATTGTTTTGATGATTCACTAATGAACCACAGGGATATATCATTTATCTTAATTAATGGGTAAAATTTTACTTTAACTACCATAAGTATTTGGATGCTTAGATTCGAGATAGGCTATATTGGGTAAATGTTAAGTTTTGGTCATCCCTGTACTTTGACATGCAGACCTTTTTTTTCTGGTGGTTTGTGATGTGTTATGAACGAATTAGACCTTCATTTTTATCGGAAATCACTAGTTTCGAGTTACTATCCCCCCCCCCCTTTCTTATAGATGTATGTTAAGTTAACCTTATAACTCATCATACCCTAACCTATGACCTGTATTTTCTTATGCGATTGAAAAATATTTTGCAACAGAAATCCCGTAGAGATAATGTGTCTTAATGTTTAAAGTACTTAATCCCATAGTTAAGAATCTTACGGCTCACCAGATGACCAAAACCCAAATAATACCAATATTGTTTGGAATGTTTATACAATGAAATTTGTAGTATGGGCAGCTAAGATCCATTGAATTAGTTAATGTGCTTAATAGTATTTATATATTAAAAATAGTATTTCTGTGTTGCACAGTAAAACAATTAATTATATAATAATATTTATTTACAGAGCCGATCAGCCGAAAAGATTGGACAACTACATCCAGGGTTCATCAAGGCAGATGAAAGAAATTTACCAAAAGTAGATGTCTTTATGATTGTAGAGTATTATCAAGAACTCCGCCATCCAGCTATGAAGCACGTTAAATTACATCTGTCATCTGATCATCCCCTGGCCATGGTCGTCCCTAGTCCTTCCACAACATTAAATATAGACATCAGTGACGAAAACTTATATTTTCCAGACATGAAATAGAGAATAGTGATGAAAACCTCATGTTGGAGTTATCGGTCTTTTGCATCATTCTAGCAGCCAGCAAGTAAATACACCCATTATACTTGAGCAATAATTTAATTTAACCTAAAAATAAGGTATGCTTGCATATAGCAACTTAATACTCACATCAAAATGATCTTCACAACAGTAGGTGCAGTAGTCTGACATGGGGAACTGTCATGAGCAGCAAGCCACCATCTCTTTCTTATCTTTCGGTACTGTGATGAATACTTTGCCCGGTGAGGATTTGTCGGTACTCTTGCACATTGGCATGAAGCACCAACGACTCTTTGTCCTTTCCTTGAACAGTGTATATGGCCACAAGTCCTGTACTTCTGATGGTAACAACTCATACACCACAGCTGGCTGGGATCATATGAAGATCTTCCCCCCCAGGTAGGTTTGGGGGGGAGGATCTTCATATGATCCGCTGGCTGCCTCCAGGCTCCCTCTCGGCGGCTCAAGTCAGTAGAGCTTTTCGCAGTCACGTGACTTTTTAACAACTTTAACCATTATTTTTTACACTTTTTGGCCCAATTTATTTTAAAATATCTTTACCATAGTGAATTTAAGCGTTTTCTTTACACATTGACCAGCCATCTTAAGAAAAAAATCCGACCGACAACTCGTCTATTCAGGATGGAATGGGTAAGATATAGTGGAGGCAACATTACAACCGATGACGATAGAGGCGATGAAGCATTTATAAATGTTGTCAGGAAACTTTACATGACTGCCTCGAAAAGCGGACCAGACAACTGACAAACGACTACGGTGTTTCCTTAAATAATAAATAAAGGGGAAAGTGAGAACGTGTGTAAAATGGGAAAATATTGAGAAATTGGTCTTCTGGGCGTGGTAAGTTATGTTCACGTTAGCCCAAATGGAGATAAAACTGAGGTACTGTATTGGAGTGTTGTGTCTGTAAAAGGACCAATGAACGATAAAATGAACCACAGTAAGTAATAAACACACACGAAAAATTATAAAGAACTGTGTCACAAAAGACTAAGATCAGGATATACAGGAAAGTTACTGAGAGTCGACATGGACACAGATTAAGATGTGAAAGATTGATAAAGAGTGCATAATTATGAGGTGTAAGCGAGGAGGAGACGGTAGTTATGAGATGAACGAGGCGGGAATTATCAGAGCAGAACAAATCTTTTACGGCAGTCAGAATAAATTACGAGTAAAAAATGAAGAAAAAATGCGTGTATATTACTCTTGTTTTCGGTCATCGTGCATTAGGCAGGAAAGAGCTCCGATAAAAATAACACTGTACACACACCTAGTCGAACAGACGCAAAAACACCCAGTAGTTCAGTCTGAGTGCCCCAATTCTTTTCGGCCTTTTGTATTGTATATCACTGTGCCCAAGAGTTGTCAAACCGCCCTTGAAATGCAAACCTTCCAATTTTAAAAACCAGATTTTGTTGTAAATATGCACAAAATCTATTCCAGCTTAACCTTACATACCTAACTCCATCCATAACGTCAGAAGCATTGAGAATAAAGGTACAGTGCAGTGTATCTTACCATGTCTCGACACTGTAATCCGCCGTAGCCAGAGGTCACGCTCAGAGAGACTTCTCCCAGTGACTGGTCCTCCTCCTCCTCCTCAGCCGTCTCTTCCGCTTCTCTTATACTGTGCGTCCTACAGATCCTCCGGCCTTGGTGGTGTTTAATCTTCCTCGGGAGTGGAAGGGAGGTAGGCACCATCTTGACGACAACAGTGCTATGTTCCTCCCTAGACTCAAGCATGAACAATGCCTCCAGACCCACGTCCACCTGTCCCAGCACTGCAGCTCGGGAGGGTTTTAGGGCTGCCTGACCCATCTCCACAAGGTCAATGGGTTAACTACGTGGGGCACAATCAACGAGCAATATTTTCAAGTAGTTTCGTGGAGTGAATCTTGGTTATGCCCACGATGCCTACCGGCTCGTGGGAGGATTTATAATGGTATGTTCTTACAATATATATAACACTGTACAAGCACCAACTGTCAACAAGTCAGTCCCTACAACTATAAAAACTGAGTTCTCGGCATTGAAATATCGAACCGTCCTTCCAGTCGATATGAAAACAGCATTCACTCACCAAAGACTAAGTAAAGTTTTATCTACATTCTTATACGGTACAGGTGGATTGGTTTTAACTGTCTCGTTTCCCAACTTAGCCGAACACTCCTGCGCCACTCACAGCAGGTTAGTATGTGTGATAAACTCTCAGCATGCAGCACAAGAGTAAGAGTACTTATCATACACAGAAAATTTGACAGGTACAGTATCCAAAACATAGCAGTCATGGACTATACACGTTTGATATTTGTTCATCATTTCCATTTGCATTACGAAAACACATTAATAGTTGCCCAGACAGATTGAAACACTTCTCTCACAGTTGAAGATCATCTCTTTTTATCTGTCAAGTAAATGTGAGGTATTAACGATGAATGTTCCAGCACCAACCTACACACTAGACTGGTCAGGGTGATACTGAGTCACTGATTCTCTTCCCTCGACTTCGTAGCTCAAGTCAGGCCCGATGTAAACACGAAGCACATGACAGGATGCCCCAATGCCGGCGTTCACAACATCACTCCCAACACTCAGTTTGATTTCTTACTGTTGTTTGACATCGTGTTTATCGTTTCATATGAAGTATCTGATGTTACCTTAAAATAAACACAAACACTAGATACATCGTGAATTATTTCGCTGCAGAAATATAACGTTTAACTGTAGTTTAACAGATTTGAAAACGTTCGATAAACAATAGAAAATTTAGGAGTTTCTGAGAGTACTGTACTAGAACGAGCGTTGAGTCTGCGGTGCTTACATTCTGGATCGTCTTTCCGTTATACTGTTGGAACGTTTTCTCGGGATAATTAATGTCAGTTAAAAATAAAGAATTCATCAGCCATACACAACATTTTTCCAGCTTTTTCAACGAAAGTTTTATGGTATTTTCCCGTGCATGACCATCACTGCCCTGTGTGCCAGATATAAAATATTTTCAGCAGATATGAAAATACTTTTTTCACAAATATCCAAAACTCAAATTATACACACTAATACCTAAGTGTGTTCTATGTACAATACTTTTTTCCAGTTAATGTGAACATAGTCTATAACATTTTCTGTGACTTCCAGAGTTAAGTACAAGGAAAATTTGGCAACTACGTCTGGCGGCTGCTCTTGCCGGGTGGGAGAAACATGCCGCTTGGTATTACGTCATAACTGTCACTACCTGTACCTGCTTACCTGCTATTGTCACAGATGTTCGCGGTCCTTCACCATATAATTTTTGCCGTCAGAGATAAATGTCATTAGACAAGTATATATCGCCGGTACACCGTGACTGCTGTTCGCTACAAGCCTCACAATTCAGCAGCATCGACCAAGTTGATTATTGACTGGACATGGAAGGTTAACGCCCACTTACAGAAAGTGGTGTAAGACAGTCGGCTGGATAATTAAACATTCTTTCTTATACCTATTTCTTCCGGTAACTGTGCCGTAATCCAATGTTCATCCACTAGGCACTGGCTCTAATAAAATGTAAATTTTTGTTATCAACCAGCAAGGCGCAGTCGCAGGTGTTGAGTTGAATCAATAGCAATATAATTTTCCGGCGTTGTCACGTATTTGTATAATAAATGAAGTGTGAAATATCTGCTGCTGATGTAGTTTCAGAAGTTAATAAGACGCACAATATGTCCAACAGATCCAATGTACCGGAGGGAAGGAAGTCTTTACTGTACACTCCAGCCTAACTTATACCCCTCCCCCCTCCGTTCCGGTATAAAATTAAATATCAGTTTAGAATAGTAGATTATATTCACAATCTGTTAATAGCTTTGTTTCTCGTGTTTCTTTATAGATATATGACGAGGGTAGTTTACAGCCTAACTGACACTGATTGCTGTACATTTGCTGAAACTTACGAGAAAACGTATAAACGAAAGACGGTAATATTCTGATATATGACAGCGACAAACTGTAAGAATACTGGTTAGCTTATACACTCCTGTTGATGGGTATCCGAGAGGAGTGCATGCGACATTTCGAGAACGTGCTACTCATGTGTCGTCAGGAGACAACAAAGGTCACCGTCAGGATCATGATATGTCCGTGTAGAAATGTTAACACAGACGACAACTACGACACTTGTGAATACAGGGCCAGGGGTTGAACAAGCAAGTGTAACTTTATCAATGCATCAGACGAACTAGGGCACATGAAGCAGAGGCGAGGCAAGTGATTGGCGAAGTCTGGTTGGGAGAATGCATGTATCAGACAAATGGGATCTATACTGTATTGTGTGTGTGTGTGTGTGTGTGTGTGTGTGTACAAAATATGTTGTATTTATTATCATATATACAAAATATAAATGAATAACATCATTACTAACATAACATAACCTTGCCTAGCCTAATTTAGCTTTAGTTAGATCATGTTATATAGTGAACAACATTACATGGAACAGCAAATTGGAACATGTATAAACTAATTTTTATAAAGTAGTGAGAGAACTAATTACATAACATGTTCAGCAAGTAAAATATTCAATAATAAAGTTATGGATAACAATAATAAAACAATGTTGGTATGAAGATAGCTTCAAACATAGGTTGGATGGATATATGACCAATAGGGGTTGGGTGTAAATGGGACTACCCACTGCCCAGTATTGGCCAAGAGGCCCGCTGCAGTTTCCTCCATTCTTATGTTCTTATGTTCTTAGTACAGTACAGTACACCCCGTTTAGTGGAGATGTACGAACACCCTTTACCGGTTAACAGAAGCTAAATAACCCAAGGATACTGTATTGTAATAGCATAATTATTATAGGAAGTGTCACATAACTGGAGCCCTTTAGTTAGTATAGTTGAAGAGAAAATTAATGTAGAGAATCTGAGACAAACTCTTTCAACCTTAATGCTGTGAACTAACTGGTACTGAGTGTTATTGATGTTATCTGTTAATATTACTTTGTAAATAAGCACAAGTTAACCATGAAGGGGTATGTGTACACCTCTCCCTGTAAATGGTTTCCGTTTTCTTTCTGGTGTGAGACGGGACTCTTCATATACGTACAGGGATGGGTTGTGTTCCTCGTTACTTGTGGACTAAGAACGAGTTTACAATGGTGCAATAGTTAAGGATGGTGGTAGTGCTGTAGATGGTGACAGTGAGAGGTTGAGTAAGTGTGTCACCAAGAAAATGTTCACCTCACTGCATGAAGTTTCAAGACCAAAAATAAAGCATTATACATATCTCAATGATTTGTTACAATGACTTACACTCGCTTTCTTTACCAAATGCTTTCGTCCGAGACTGACACCGGGTGCTGCGGAGATCACGTTCAAGAGTGCTATTTCGGGCAAGTCATGCACAAATTATATTCTTCAGTGGCAATTACTGTGACCTACAATTTGTATTTTTTTTTTCGCTCATAATTGCCGAGCGTATAATTGTAAAACCAAACCTAGACGAACACGCAACATCAGTATGGTATGACCTGTAACAGTGACTTATATAAGGGAGTGGCGGACAATATTGTACAGTGACAAAGAACATAAGAACATAACATAAGAAGTTAAGGAGTCTGCAATAGGCCGGTTGGCCTGTGCATGGCAGCTCCTGTCGAGAGTTACTACCATTCTCTATCATCCATGAATGTATCTAGCCTCCTTTTAAGACTTTCCAGAGTTCCCGCACTTACTACAAAGTTGCTAAGCTTGTTCCACTCGTCCACCACCCTATTTGTGAACCAGTTTCTTCCTATCTCCCTCCTAAACCTAAACTTATCCAACTTGAATCCGTTGCTCCGAGTCCTGTCTCGCTCGGATATTATAAGAACTTTATCTATATCCCCTTTATTGATTCCTTTCACCCACTTGAATACTTCTATCATATCTCCCCGCACTCTTCGTCTTTCTAAGGAATGCAAGTTAAGTTTCTTTAACCTATCCTGATATGGAAGGTTTCTAAGTCCCGGAATCATTTTTGTCATTCTTCGCTGCACCGACTCTAGTGAATTTATATCCATTCTATAATAGGGGCACAAGAACTGAACCGCATAATCGAGGTGCGGCCTGACTAGCTCAAGATATAGTTGCTATAAGACCTCTGCACTCTTGTTACTTACACTTCTGGATATAAAACCCAATACTCTGTTTGCCTTATTTCGAACATTAACGCACTGTTTTCTAGGCCGTAGGTCCGGGCTTACAAGTACCCCTAGGTCTCTTTCACAAGTCGACTTCTCTAGGTTGATGTTGTTAAGGCTGTATACATTATAAATATTTGTTCTTCCAATATTAAGTACGCTGCACTTGATGGTGTTGAATTTCATTTGCCATTTTTCAAACCACCCCTGCAGTTTATTTAGATCCTCCTGTAATGCATTTGCATCCTGCCCTGAATTAATTTGCCGCCCTATTTTGGTGTCATCCGCAAACTTGCTTATGTCACTGCTGATCCCAGTATCTAGATCGTTTATGTAGATTATGAACAAGAGTAGGCCTAGTACTGACCCCTGGGGAACCCCACTGGTTACACGGCCCCACTCAGATTTTACACCATCTCCGCTGACCCTCTGCGTTCTATCGGTGAGCCATGATTTTATCCAATTTAAAACTTTCCCCTCGATACCATGAGCCTAAATTTTTCTCAGAAGCCTCTGATGCGGTACTCTGTCAAATGCTTTGCTAAAGTCTAAGTAAATAACATCGTAATTTTCGTCATTATCTACTACCTCGAAGACTTTCCGAAAAAACGTCAGCAGATTTGTTAGACAAGATTTTCCCTTTGTAAACCCATGTTGAGAGTCGTAGATTAATTTGCTTTTCCCAAGATGCGATCGGATGCTATCTGCTATAATTGATTCAAGAAATTTCCCCACTACAGACGTCAAACTGATCGGCCGGTAATTTGACGCTGATACTCTGTCAGGTACCGTAATCAATACCAGGATGTGTGTAGCGGGAAGAGTGAGGTCGGTAATAAAATGTGTGTGTGTGTGTGTGTGTGTGTGTGTGTGTGTGTGTGTGTGTGCGTTAAACATAAGAACATAAGAATGGAGGAAACTGCAGCGGGCCTATTGACCCATACTGGGCAGTCCCGTTTATACCCAACCCCTATTGCTCATATAAGCATCCAACCTATGTTTGAAGCTATCCAGCGTATTCGAGTTAATGATGATATTTGGTAACTTGTTCCATTCATCCACTACTCTTTTTCCAAACCAGTGTTTACCTATTTCACGCAGAAATCTAAATTTGTCTAATTTAAAACCATTGTTACGAGTTCGCTCCTGGTTGGATAGTTTGAGTACGTTTGTAATGTCCCCTTTGTTTAACCCTGACTTCCATTTATACACCTCTATCATGTCGCCCCTCACTCTACGTCTCTCGAAGGAGTGCAAATTAAGATGCTTTAACCTGTCTCTGTATTCAAGGTTCCTAATGCCGGGATTAGTCTTGTCATTCTCCTCTGGATTCTTTCCAAGGATTCTATATC